ACCTGGCATAAAGTAAGCGAGGATGATGAATGGATAGATGAATGGAGAGACTAATGGAAGAGTTTGTTATCAAAACAGTCAGGTTATATAGTTTTAGCCTTTTAAGGAAACTAAGAGAATGACATCATAATAGAAAACAAAGAAAATGAAATCACTTAGGGTTAGTTAGGAGTACAGCCTGGGTCTTCTGTTTCTCTCCCTCTCCTCCTCCTCTTTATCCTTCTGTTCTGTTGCTCCTAGAAACCACCCCCCCACACACATACACATATTTAGCCACAGACACACGCACAAGGAGAGTGAAACAGGAACAGTTACATTAATTAATGGAAGGATGAGCATAGACTACTCTGTTTAGTGCAAAGTTTAGCAACTTTCTTTATCTTGTAGCCATATGGTGGGTTTTTTTGTGGGGTTACCAGGGATCTAACTCGGGTCCTTGCACTTGTGAGGCATGCAACAGAACAATTGAGCTAAATCCCCAACCCCATACAGTGTATTTTTATTATGTATATATACAGGTAGCTTACACACACAAAAAAAACATAGTGTATAAAATTATAGAGATAATGTAACAAATATACAATGAATACAATCATAGAGATTATATAAATCTACTGCTTCAGAATTAAATGAAAATGGCATTCAGGTAAAGATTCATTACATAAGAATTAGGCATTTTTATATAAATATTGTATTGTAATATGTCTCTAAAATACACAATAGTTAAGTAATTATTAGCTTGCTTACTAATATATATTCATTTGGGGATAGTTCTTTCAGAAAAGTTTTTCATATGATACTTTTTCAAACAAAATGAGATTGTTTTGTCAATTTCTGATTGCTTAGCAATAGTCAAAAACTTTTCAGACCCTAACATTCACTTTCTTATAAGTGAATATGTCCAGAAATTGAGGTTATTTCAGTCAGAATTCTTGCCTTCTTGTTCACAGAATCATAGCCCCTCCTCTCCCAAGAAGACAGAGCTGTTTATGGTTAATTGCTCTTTCTATCTAAATATCAATTACCTTTTCAAGGGGCTACCCAGTCAGATTTGCCACTTAGCAGTTTGTCTAAAAACTAGCTAAATGTGCAAATATAGGTGTAGGGATAAGGTCTAATTTGATTTTCAACCTAGTTGACCCTTCAGTTTTAGTTTAAAAACACACAAACAAATTTTAGGCTTTTCCAATTACAAAGTAGCTTACTGCATAGTTTAGTTGTTTTTGTTTGTTTTGTTTTGTGGCTAAATTTTTTTGTTTTGTGTTTAATTTTAAAAATGGGAAATTTAGTTATATGAGCTTAATTGTTGGAATTTCTATCTTTCCCCTCTTGTCTCTTGGAAACAGTAAGTACAATATCAGTTCATGACTTAAAAAACAGAATAAATACTAAAAAATTTAAGCCCAAATTTCACTGAATGTAATGAGGCCAATGTCAAAAGAGCATTTGTTGAAGTAACTAATGCTTTTAATAAGGCAGAATATGATAGTTAAAGGAAACAATGACTTTTACTTCTGCATACAAAGTAAACGTTAATGTCAGAGGGGAAAGCAGGGTCAGGGTTCATTTGAAATTCAGCTCAGTAGCAGGAAGTCAGAGGTAAGGAGATGTCTGTGATCCTAACAAGGAACCCCCAGCTTCATCCTGACTGCTCAGCCTAGATGCAGTCTAACAAGTTATTTAACTTCTCCAAATCTCACCTTCTTAGAGATGTATAGTGAGGATAGGAAAAAACACCTATCTTGGCAGAGTTTTGGTGAAAATTAATAAGGCTATAGTTCTGAAAATTAAATGGTAACCAAGTTTCTAAAAAAAGTTTGTAATCATAATAGTATATAAAATTATGGCTGTGCTTAAACAATTCATTGAATGCCATTCTTACTCTCTTTACTCTGAAGAGTAGTCACTCCTCCAAAGTTAACTAAAGCTGTTTCCATGCTTTAAAATATTTGATAGTTAAGAAATTATTTTGCTTACCAACATATATATCTGGGACCTAATGTTGGTTCCTTCAACATTTTTCACTGCATGTGAAAATCATCAGCAAAAAACACAGGAAATAGGCAGAATATGTATTGTTTGCCTTATTTCATTGGTTAGGAAACTTTTTAAAAGAATGAAATCACAATAGGAAATAAAAAAAGATGAAATTACTTAATGTAATTCAGGAGTACAGCCCAAGTTTTCTGTTTAAAAGGGGCTTGGGGGGAGAATAGAGAAATAAAAGAGAAGGAAGAAATTAGATACAAGGCTACAGGAAGACTAAACAAACTTTGGGAAACTGGTGAAAAACAGGAGGGAAAGAGAGAAGGAAGAAATAAAAACAAAACAGAACAGCAAAAACAAAATAACTAGAAACCATTTTCATATTCATATGAAAAGAACAAACAGTCAAGAAACAACAAAACAAGAAAAGAAAAAATAATATCTACTTTGAGGTGTGTCTCTGCTGTCACTGGTAGACATAGTGGTCAGACAGAGTCCAGATCCATGTTGATTAATCCCAGCAGTCCAGCTGTAGCTTTAAGATACAGTAATCGATAATCTCAGCAAGCCTACACCTTTAGTTTCACTGAAATTCAGGCTGGTTTCTTGTTGTGAGGCTAGAACACAATTTGTTCAGTAGCACTTTGTGTCTCTTGCTGACTTGAACTCACAACCTCACCTGACTCTGGGAGCTGCTAAATGGAACCAGCAGTTGCTCTCAGTTCCAAGTTCACTTGGGCCCTCTCCAGGATAGCTACCTTTCCTCTCTTGGGGGACATCTGAACCTGAATAACTCACCAGCCACTGAAATCTATTGAGTCCACTGCTCCATTCCATTGGTGTGTTTCTCCATGGAGGCCTATGGGGTTTCCAGTAATCACTGTGCACCTGCAGGTTCAAGGCACCCTCCCATGCAGTGAGTCAGGGGTCAGGGAGAAAGTGCCACTTTCAACCTCCTTCTTCTGCATTAAGATCTCTCCACCGTCTGTGGGCTTCAGTTCTAATTTTGGATACTTCCTGGTCCTGGGGACCCACTTCCTTCCTCCTACTCTTCTTCACGTTGCTGTATTCCTGCATCTGAGCACCAAATCTCAGAGAGGCTATTTTTCTGCTGCTCACTATACTAACATCATATCAGAAAATGGAAAGATAGCCCTTGTTCTAGGGTAGGAAAAACCAGTATAGTGAAAATAGTCATAATTACAAAATTGTTTTGCAGATTTAATGCATTCCTGATAAAAATACCAGTAGCATATCTCACAGAATTAAAGAAAACAATCCTAAAATTTATTTGGAATCAGAAAAGACCTAGAATAAAGCAGTTCTTGGCAGCAAAGGCAAGGCTGGAGGCATCACAATATCTGATTTGAAATTATACTCCAAAGCTACTCTAATTAAAAACAGCATAACACAGGGAAAAAAAACCCCAAGGATCAATGAACAGATTAGAAGATACTGAAACAAATTCAGACATACTCAGCCACTTTATCATTGAAAAAGGAGCCAAATACCTTCCCTAGAAGAAAGGTAGCCTCTTGAATAAATGGTGCTGGGAAGAACTGGCTTTCCACATGCTGAAGTTTAAAACTAGATCCATATCTCTCACCATACACTAAACTAAAATAAAAATGGATCAAAGCTCTAAATATTAAAACAGAAACACTAAATCTGCTAGAAGATAAAATAGAATTCTTGAAGACATTGATCTAGACAAAGAATTCAGATCACATAGGAAATATTGATCACACAGGGAAACCCTGATCATACAGGAAATATCACAAAGAATTAACAACTTGGATCTCATTTCATTAAATAGCTTTTGCACAGAAAGAATCAAACAACACCAACAGAGTGAAGAGACCTCACAGAGTAGGAAAAAATTTGCCAGCTTTTCCTAATACAGAGAACTAATATCTAGAATATATAAAGAATTGAAACAAATCAGACCACCCAAATTTAAAGACCAAATTCAAAAATGGACATCTGAAATGAATAGATACTTCTCAGATGAAGAAGTAGAAATGGCAAATAAATATATGAAAGTATTCATTATCACTAATCATTTGAGAAATGCAAATTAAAATGCTGAGATCCCATCTTATTCTAGAAAGAATGCCTGTTATCAAGAATACAATGAGTAGTAAATGCTGGTGGGACCATAGGAAAAAAGAAACCCTTCTCTACTATCGGTAGGAGTGTAGATTGGTGCAATCACTGTTTGAATCAGTGTGGAGATTCCTCAAGAAAACAAAAATGATGGTGCCATTTGACTTAGTTATTCCTTTTCTTGGTATCTTCCCAAAAGAATTAACAGCATCATACCACAGCAATATATTAATAATCATTTATACATTTATAGCAGCAGTTTGTAATAGTGAAATCTTGGAAACAACCCAAATGCCCAACAACTGGTGAATGTATAAAGAATTCGTGGGTTTTTTTTAATATAATGGAATACTACTCTGCCATAGCGAAAGATAAATCTGAGACATTTCTAACTAAATAGATGCACTGTTAGACCATACTTGTAAGTGAAATAAATCAGACACAGTGTTCAAATATCACATGGTTTATCTGACAAAGAAACCAGAGTGTAAACAAGGAACAAAGTATACAATAGATACTGGGAAATGGAAAGAAAATGTCCAAATGAGATGAGGAATAAGGGAGAGGGGAGGGAGAAAAAAAAAGAAAGGATAATGAAGAGAAACAAACAGAAGGAAAACAATGAAAACAAAGTTTTTTAAAATAAAGAGAAGTTAAACGGAGGGGAAGGGAATGGGAAAAAAAGAAGAAGCAAGATATATCATATACAGGTACAAATTCCCTGTCTGGGATGTTATCATTATGTATATCTAAAATGTACCACTAAGATAAAAGTGAAAAAAAACTTCAGTGTGAGATGGAGTTCGGAAGAGCAGTTGGAACTGGCTCAAAGGAGCTTTGCAGATGATGTACTGAAAGGAGAAATGATATTTTCAGGTTTGATGCCCTTTATTTTTTTTCTTCCACAGTAATTAGTGAATGCCAAAGACAGCAACTGGAGTCTGTGAACTACTCCTCTCGCTATGCTCTGGGTCTCTTTTATGAAGCTGGCACGAAGATTGATGTCCCTTGGGCTGGGAAGTACATTACCAGTAATCCCTGCATACGCTTTGTCTCCATCGATAATAAGAAGCGCAATATAGGTCAGTACCCCAATTATTTCCTTTAAATACAGTAACAATAGTGGGTGTAGATCATGAAAAATTCTGTTTAATTGAGTGTTGCCATTCTGAACGGAGCAAGCATTTAACACCAAGCCACAGGGGATAAAATTTAATGTCACATTTCCCCAGTCATAAAATACACAGTGAAACCGGCGAAGTTTTTCAGAAAATCATTCGCCACATGGTTTGTATTACGGAGTTCGTCAAAATAGTGTCAGAAGGTTTAAGATTCCAAAAAGACCCATATTCTACTGCTTTAATGTGGATCCATGTGTGTGCAAGTGTACATCTCATCATCTGTTTCTTAGTAGAATGTTTGTTTATTTGGTGTGGGCTTTTTAAAATTTGTTAAGTGCTGGTAATCTACTTCCATGGCTAGAAATAAGAGGTAAATTTTACTATGGTATGAAAATATTTCACTTCAATATGATTTTATTGGTTACTTACGCTTCATCTGCAAAAATAGGGTAAAATCACTCTGTGTAAAATATAATGAAAATGACAGGGAAATATTTCATGAGAGCTTTCCTAGAATGTGATGAACTCTACACTTCACCTTCCTTGTTGAAGATAGTTATAAAAATTAGATTTGAATCACCAAAACATGTAATGAATACAGTGCAGGCAAAAAAACAAAACAAAACAAAACAAAACTGAGAGTACATTTTTATTTGTAGTATTGTTGTGACCCCAGAGTTACTGCTTTTCATAAATAAAATATAATGATCTAAATTCTTAAATTACTAAGCTCTTAAAAGTAATTGTCACTTCAATTTGTTACAGTCTTTTATGGCATAGTGATAGTTTCATCAAGCCGTTAGTTAGAAGTCTTGCTTGATCAAATCACCAATGTCTCTTGGCTTGCCAGAAATTTATAATGCTAGAACTGAACTGGAGTGTGCTTTTCCTATCACAGCACATGATCTTAGAAAAATGTTTCTTTTATAACTTAAACTCCCTAAGAGCTGAACTGTTTATGTTAACATGATACCATATATGTGTGTGTATATATATCTATATCTATATCTATATAGATATATATACATACAATAAGCAGTTCATGAAATACCCTATAACAGCGATGCACTAGCATTTTTAATCCTACAACTACTTTGTTCTGAAGAAAATAGCCCTTGATCTTCTCAAGTTATATGCTATGAATTAGATAGTATCCTTTGTGTATTGCTTCGTAGGATATCTGTCAGGATAGGTAATGGAAAAAAACAAATTTGTTTATAAAAAATGGGCATTTCATATCTGCTATGGACTGAATTGTATCTCCTTTAAATTAATAGGTTGAAGCACTATTTAGAGATAGGGCTTTTAGGAGGTAATTTAGATTATACAAGGTTATAAAAGTGGAGTCTTAACTCAACAGTATTGGTAACCTTATAAAAAGAGTAAGAGAAAAAGAGAGGTGCTCTCCCTGTCGAAGCTCTCACACACCCAGGAAAAGCCATGTGAACACAGAGCAAGAAGGCAGCCATTTTAATACTCAGAAAAGAGCCCTCACCAGCAACCATGTCAATCAACACTTTGCTCTTAGACTTCCAGGAGAAATTTTTATTGTTTGAAGCCCCTGGTCTCCGGTACTTTGTCCCATAAAAACACTTGGGGATAAGAGGGACCATCATTTCTTCTGTCCCTTTTTAAGAACAAAGGAAATCTTTTCAGAAGCCCTTTAAAGGTATGTCATAGAGCAGAATTTGGTTATTCAACCAGTCCAAAAGCAGTCACTAGTGGTGGGCAACATTTGGGGGAAATATTGTGATAAGCCTAGACAAATCAAGATTTACTCCTGGAACTGGTATTAGAATCATCTTCCTGTTAACCTTGTGAAGAAGGGTCACTACCTGAATAAAATAAGGCAGTAATGGCAAGCCTTTCAGAAACAAATGTTCAAACTGCAACCTTCAACCCACTTATTTATAAAGAGTGCCAGCACTGAAACTAAACAGGAATGCTAAGTAGTTTGGAAAAACAACTCATACATTAACATCTTTTGTCTTAACAAAAACAAATAATATGTATGCCATGGATTCACCACTAAAATAGGGTTTTGTGAGAAAGAAAGAAGTAGTGAAGCTAGATTGGCAATCAATGAGCATTAACTTCAAGTAGAATCATCTCTTTTGTGGGAGAAAAAGTTCTAATATTTGCATGTAAAGAGAAGAATTATACATATTCAAAATTATCTTTGATGTCCCTTAAAACTATTATGGAAAATGACAAAACAACTTTCAGTAAATTCAGTAAGCCATTTTTGCAACATTTAATAGATTTTGATCTTTTCAGGTAAGGCTATATTAAATATTTGGTTTGTATTTGTAGCACAAAGGGGTACTTTCTGCTATGAAAGGCACACAGGAAGGAAAGAAATACCAGTCATATCTCCGAACAGACTAAATCTCCTATACAAATATAATGGGATGGTGTGGGAAAGCACCCATACTACAGTACAGAAACAATTAATAAAATTGTGCAGATTTGAAAAAATGAAACATAAGAACATTAAGAAACTTTCACATGATTGTTATTAGTAATAGAATTTCTCACATTTTTATATCAACAATCATATAGTTTTAAAACTGTAGAGCCAAGTGAACTAGAAACCATGATTTTTCTTTACCTATGTTGGTTCTATGAAGCAACTGGAAAGAAATACCTGTTTCCTTTTGTCAATTGTATGGAAAATTAATCTTCTTTTAGGCAAATTTTAAATTATGTGATCTCCAGTTGTGACATTTCTTAATAAAACATCTATCTGCTTTCATTTAAACAATGTTTTATCACTATCTGACCTCAGAATACTAAGTATGTCAAATTAACTTGACATAATATAAATGCCCATCTAATGTACCTCCACTATATTTTATAAATATACATATTTAATTAGGCCAGTAACAGGTGTTTCTTTATGCCCTAACATTATTCCACACCTACCCTTTATTTAAAGTGATTGATTGAATCCAGAATTAATACTGTAATACATACTGTACTGCACATCATTTCTATTCTGTGAGGTAGGGAAGTGGTAAGTGGAGGAAGGCTGGAAGGGTTGTGATCACAAAATAACAATGTGTTGATATGTCTTGAAAGACAGAGGGTAAAGTAGTCAAAACTAGATGAAGTTCAAGGTATAATCAAATGTCAATAATAGGCAATCTGTGCAAAAGTTCACAACTGGAACCAACATTTTCTCTAGTAGAGGAACTGAATTTCCACAGTACTAGACCCAACTTGAAGTACCAGTAGACATGAGCATAACTCAATATACTGATGCTTGTATTTCCACAAGTGTTCTATGGAACACTAGTTCCTTGGGAAGGAACTCTGTTATCAAATAAGTTTGAAATATGTTATAAACTTGACTATTACTATGCTATAAACTTTCACTATTTTGGAGTGTTTGGGGAAATATCATCTTATTATAGGATATTGCTAAAGAAATTAGACCTTTTCTCTTCATTTAACCTGTATTGTTCCAAATGTACTTGACCATGGAACATTTTATTGGTGCACCAAACCTGTGAATGTCCTTCAGAAGTGGTTTCCTGGGGCACGGTTGAGAAATCCTAACTTGCTATTGTGTTTTGTGCTTCATTTATGGGCAACAAGTATACACCAGATAATTGTGATAGGATGGTCTGGTTCTATAGTACAAGCATCAAGTAAGAAGATAAAATTTTTTTAGAGATAAGAAAACTCTTGTTTCTGATGAACTCAGATTTTATGGGGTTTGAATTTAAGATTTGTAGGTTAAAAAAATCTTTATCATTTTAGTATAGTCCTATAGTTTGAATCTCAAATGTCCCCCAAAGCCCATGTAGTGAGGCTTAGTATGGAGCTACTAAGAGGTAGAAACTTTAAGACATTGGGCTTGAAGGGAAGACATCCAGTTGTTGGGGGTATGCACTTGAATGAGGATAGTGCGACTTAACTTCCCACTTCCTGTCTCATTTTCACTCCTCAGCCATGAAGTATGCACCCCCTACCATCATGTTCTGTCTAAGCACAGGCTCAAAAGCAAGGGCACCAAGCAAACATGAACCTGCAAACCTGTGAGCCAAAGTAAATCTTTTATCTTTATAAATTTATTATCTCATACATTTGTTACAGTGCCAGGAACTGGCTAAGACACATAGATAGTTTTTAGAATTATCAGTACGATTAGCACAATGGTAAAAATTTGAACTTAAAAGACCTATATTCATGTTTTGGCTCTGAAAAGTGCTAGTGATATGCTTTTCACATGAGCATTGTGTTAGGCTAAGTTTTCGTAATAAACACATCCAAGACTTTAATGGCCTGAATATAACAAATTTTATTTCTTAAGTCCAAACAGATGAAATGGGTAGTTTTATTTAAAGAAGTTATTCAGGTGATTAAATATTTAAGACGGAAGGCCAGTTACCCTGATTTTGTCCTTACACATATGTATCACATTGTCACTGTATCTCATAAAATATACAACTACAGTGAGTTAATTTTAAAAAATCTTAAAAAGCTTAGGAAAAAGGAGGTTATTCAAAGATCCAGGGTCCTATATCTTTAGCCTCACTGTACCGAGAGGCATCAAATCAGTAGATTGAAAGGACAGAAGAGAGCACGTGGGAGGTAAAATCAAGGTACTATGTGTAATAGGTGTGCTCACATTCCATTGATCAAAGCACAATCAGTTATGTGTGCACAGCAGTTTAGAATTTGGGCCTATAATCTTCCTAGGGCTTGTGACAAGAAGAAAAGGTATATTTAGTGAACATCTACCCAGCCTTTGCTATAATAGTTAACATACATCCTCTGTAAAAGGAACAGATTAGACATGTATGGTGATAAATAATTTTCAAATATAAGTGTAAATCACTCATCAGGTAGCCACCACCTATGACAGAAACTAACAATTATTCCAAGTCTGGGTTTAGAGAACCCAGAAAAAGATTCTATCTAAAATCAGCAATGTCTTATCATTCAGAGGATGC